CAACCAACACCAGACCCCGTGTCAGCACTGAATCCAGTACTTGCAACCTCAACAACGGAGGGCCCCACCGAACCTGAACTGGCAGCAGCCGATAACCCGACCCAAGAGGCTCAGCCGGAGCCTGAATCCCAACATAGTGCACCAGCGGAGAGCGGTTCACAGTCAACAGAAACAGCTCCATCCCCTATATCGCTTCCAGAGGGACCAAGCCTAGGTCCACAATCCCATGAGGAACTGATGTCTCCAGCATCAAGGGAACAGTTCCAGACCGAACAGGAAGCAGATGAAAGCCTCCAGAGAGCTTGGACGGCGGCACGGAGCAACCCACCGCCTCTCAGCTCTTCTAATCGATCCAGGTTTGTTGTAGAAAGAGGACTTTTATACAAGGAAACTCTTTCTGGTGGACACCAGGAAGACTGGCATCCTCAGAGACAGTTGGTAGTTCCAACTAAATACCGGGCCAAGCTCTTGAGCTTAGCCCATGATCACCCTAGTGGCCATGCTGGGGTGAACAGGACCAAAGACCGTTTGGGGGGGTCATTCCACTGGGAGGGAATGGGCAAGGATGTTTCTACCTATGTCCAGTCTTGTGAGGCGTGCCAAAGAGTGGGAAAACCCCAAGACCAGGTCAAAGCCCCTCTCCAGCCACTCCCCATCATTGAAGTTCCATTTCAGCGAGTAGCTGTGGATATTCTGGGTCCTTTTCCGAAAAAGACACCCAGAGGAAAGCAGTACATACTGACTTTCATGGATTTTGCCACCCGATGGCCGGAAGCAGTAGCTCTAAGCAACACCAGGGCTAAAAGTGTGTGCCAGGCACTAGCAGACATTTTTGCCAGGGTAGGTTGGCCCTCCGACATCCTCACCGATGCAGGGACTAATTTCCTGGCAGGAACTATGAAAAACCTTTGGGAAGCTCATGGGGTAAATCACTTGGTTGCCACTCCTTACCATCATCAAACAAATGGCATGGTGGAGAAGTTTAATGGAACTTTGGGGGCCATGATACGTAAATTTGTAAATGAGCACTCCAATGATTGGGACCTAGTGTTGCAGCAGTTGCTCTTTGCCTACAGAGCTGTACCACATCCCAGTTTAGGGTTTTCCCCATTTGAACTTGTATATGGCCGTGAGGTTAAGGGGCCATTGCAGTTGGTGAAGCAGCAATGGGAGGGATTTACACCGTCTCCAGGAACTAACATTCTGGACTTTGTAACCAACCTACAAAACACCCTCCGAACCTCTTTAGCCCTTGCTAGAGAAAACTTACAGGATGCTCAAAAAGAGCAAAAAGCCTGGTATGATAAACATGCCAGAGAGCGTTCCTTCAAAGTAGGAGACCAGGTCATGGTCTTAAGGGCGCTCCAGGCCCATAAAATGGAAGCATCGTGGGAAGGGCCATTCACGGTCCAGGAGCGCCTGGGAGCTGTTAATTATCTCATAGCATTCCCCACCTCCAACCGAAAGCATAAGGTGTACCATATTAATTCTCTAAAGCCCTTTTATTCCAGAGAATTAAAGGTTTGTCAGTTTACAGCCCAGGGAGGAGACGACGCTGAGTGGCCCAAAGGTGTCTACTACGAAGGGAAATGTGGTGGTGGTGTGGAAGAGGTGAACCTCTCCATGACCCTTGGGCGTATGCAGCGACAGCAGATCCAGGAGCTGTGCACTAGCTACGCGCCAACGTTCTCAACCACCCCAGGACTGACTGAACGGGCATACCACTCCATTGACACAGGTAATGCTCACCCAATTAGGGTCCAACCTTACCGGGTGTCTCCTCAAGCTAAAACTGCTATAGAACGGGAGATCCAGGATATGTTACAGATGGGTGTAATCCGCCCCTCTGAAAGTGCATGGGCATCTCCAGTGGTTCTAGTTCCCAAACCAGATGGGGAAATACGTTTTTGCGTGGACTACCGTAAGCTAAATGCTGTAACTCGCCCAGACAACTATCCCATGCCACGCACAGATGAACTATTAGAGAAACTGGGACGGGCCCAGTTCATCTCTACCTTGGACTTAACCAAGGGGTACTGGCAGGTACCGCTAGATGAATCTGCCAAGGAAAGGTCAGCCTTCATCACACATCTCGGGCTGTATGAATTTAATGTACTCCCTTTCGGGCTGCGAAATGCACCCGCCACTTTCCAAAGACTTGTAGATGGTCTCCTAGCGGGATTAGGAGAATATGCAGTCGCCTACCTTGACGACGTGGCCATATTTTCGGATTCCTGGGCAGACCACCTGGAACATCTACAAAAAGTCCTTGAGCGCATAAGGGAGGCAGGACTAACTGTTAAGGCTAAGAAGTGTCAAATAGGCCTAAACACAGTGACTTACCTTGGACACCAGGTGGGTCAAGGAACTATCAGCCCCCTACAGGCCAAAGTGGATGCTATCCAAAAGTGGCCTGTCCCAAAGTCAAAGAAACAGGTTCAATCCTTCTTAGGCTTGGCCGGTTATTACAGACGATTTGTACCGCACTACAGCCAAATCGCTGCCCCACTGACAGACCTAACCAAAAAGAAACAGCCAAATGCTGTTCAGTGGACCGGAAAGTGTCAGAAGGCCTTTAACAAGCTTAAAGCGACACTCATGTCTGACCCTGTACTAAGGGCCCCAGACTTTGACAAACCGTTCCTTGTAACCACAGATGCGTCCGAACGTGGTGTGGGAGCAGTTTTAATGCAGAAAGGACCTGATCAAGAATTCCACCCTGTAGTGTTTCTCAGCAAAAAACTGTCTGAGAGGGAAAGCAACTGGTCAGTCACTGAAAAAGAATGTTACGCCATTGTCTACGCTCTGGAAAAGCTACGCCCATATGTTTGGGGACGGCGTTTCCACCTGCAAACCGACCATGCTGCACTGAAGTGGCTTCACACCGTCAAAGAAACTAACAAAAAACTTCTTCGGTGGAGTTTAGCTCTCCAAGATTTTGATTTCGACATCCAACACATCTCAGGAGCTTCTAACAAAGTGGCTGATGCACTCTCCCGTGAAAGTTTCCCAGAATCAACTGGTTAAAATCGTCCTTGAGATGTGGAAAATATTGTTAGTCTTTATGTACTTGGTAGTATATTTAGAGATGCATGTGTCTTATTAACTCTGTTTTCCTAGAGCTCCAGGAAGAAATCCCAGCCAGTGTTTCACCCTAGCTGAGATTTGGGGGCGTGTCATAAATATAAAGGGAAGGGTAAACCCCTTTGAAATCCCTCCTGGCCAGGGGAAAGCTCCTCTCACCTGTAAAGGGTTAAGAAGCTAAAGGTAAGGTCGCTGGCACCTGACCAAAATGACCAATGAGGAGACAAGATACTTTCAAAAGCTGGGAGGAGAGAGACAAACAAAGGGTTTGTGTCTGTCTGTGTGCTGCTCTTGCCAGGGACAGAACAGGAATGGAGTCTTAGAACTTTTAGTAAGTAATCTAGCTAGGTATGTGTTAGATTATGATTTCTTTAAATGGCTGAGAAAAGAATTGTGCTGAATAGAATAACTATTTCTGTCTGTGTACTTTTTTTGTAACTTAAGGTTTTGCCTAGAGGGGTTCTCTATGTTTTGAATCTAATTACCCTGTAAGATATCTACCATCCTGATTTTATAGGGGGGATTTCTTTATTTCTATTTACTGCTATTTTTTATTAAAAGTCTTCTTTTAAAAAACTGACTGCTTTTTCATTGTTCTCAGATCCAAGGGTTTGGGTCTGTGGTCACCTATGCAAATTGGTGAGGCTTTTTATCCAACATTTCCCAGGAGAGGGGGGGTGCAAGTGTTGGGAGGATTGTTCATTGTTCTTAAGATCCAAGGGTCTGGGTCTGTAGTCACCTAGGCAAATTGGTGAGGCTTTTTACCAAACCTTGTCCAGGAAGTGGGGTGCAAGGTTTTGGGGAAGTATTTTGGGGGGAAAGACGCGTCCAAACAGCTCTTCCCCAGTAACCAGTATTAGTTTGGTGGTGGTAGCGGCCATTCCAAGGATAACGGGTGTAATATTTTGTACCTTGGGGAAGTTTTGACCTAAGCTGGTAAAGATAAGCTTAGGAGGTTTTTTCATGCAGGTCCCCACATCTGTACCCTAGAGTTCAGAGTGGGGGAGGAACCTTGACATGGCCCAATCCTCCAATTTGTCTCGGTCACTCTGTACCCTATCCCTAACTTCCAGCATATCTACCTGCCCCCAGTTTAGTGTCATCCGCAAACTTGCTGAGGGTGCAATTCATCCTATCATCAGATCATTAATAAAAATGTTGAACAAAACTGGCCCCAGGACTGACCCCTAGGGCACTCCGCTTGATACCAGCTGCCAACTGGACATCGAGCCATTGATCACTACCCATTGAGCACGATGATCTAGCCAGCTTTCTGTCCACCTTATAGTCCATTCATCCAGACCATACTTCTTTAACTTGCTGGCAAGAATACTGTGGGAGACCGTGTCAAAAGCTTTGCTAAAGTCAAGGAATAACACGTCCACTGCTTTTCCTTCATCCACAGAGCCAGTTATCTCGTCATAGAAGGCAATTAGATTAGTCAGGCATGACTTGCCTTTGGTGAATCCATGCTGACTGTTCCTGATCACTTTCCTCTCCTCCAAGTGCTTCAAAATGGATTCCTTGAGGACCTGCTCCATGATTTTACAAGGGACTGAAGTGAGGCTGACCGGTCATGTGAGACAGTATCAAAAGCCTTAATAAAGTCAAGATATTCCACATCTACCGTTCCCCCCCGCCCACCCGCCATCCACAAAGCTTGTTACCCTGTCAGAGAAAGCTATCAGGTTTGTTTGACATGATTGGTTCTTGACAAATCCATGCTGACTGTTATTTATCACCTTATTATTTTCTAGGTGTTTGCAAATTGATTGCTTAATTATTTGCTCCATTATCGTTCCGGATACGGAAGTTAAGCTGACTGGTCTGTAATTCCCTGGGGTGTCCTTACTTCCCTTTATTTCCCATGTAGCATCTCAGGGCTCACTGGTGAGTCTCCCTTTGCTGTGTTACAGGAGAGTTATCCACTGACCGTCGTCACCTACGTGGGACTGACCTTCTCCCTGCTGTGCCTCCTCCTCGCCATCCTCACCTTCCTCCTTTGCCGCTCCATCCGCAATGTCAGCACCTCCCTCCACCTGCAGCTCTGCCTCTGCCTCTTCCTGGCTGACCTGCTCTTCCTCACTGCGGAGACCCGCACCCGCAGTCAGGTCTGTTACCCACTTTTATTGTTGGTTTAAATTTGAGCTGTGTCCAGATCCTCTGTCAGCATTTCTAAAGCTCCCCTCACTCCAGCACCTTTTTATACCCTCAGCTGGATGGTAACATTTATTCCATGCTCTTTAGTCCCGCAGAAATAATTATTTACTCCCCTCCAAAAGAAATCTCTCTGGGTGAAACCAGTCCTTCCCTTTCCCTTGTGGGCTCCATCCTTCATCAGACAAAGGAACCTCAATTTCCAGAGTCACAGTCCCCTGCCTGTCCTCTCTGCCCCCACACTGATGGGCAGATGCAAGGCACCTATATCTTGAAGCAGATACAGAGAAGAGAACCGACACCCTCCAGGTCTCTCCCTATTATGAGGACCGGGAACTTGTTTATGTCCCTGCTCCCTATCCTAGGATTTCTCACAGTATCCAACAATTTCCACGATTCATTTGGGAACTACAACCCCCAGAAACCATCTTTTCTGAGTGGAGATCAGGACCAGCCTGGACTCTGAATGATTGAAAGGGCCAGCCAGCTTGCCCTTAGACAAGCTCCTGTAGACTGAAGAACGTATTGTCCCTGGGAGAGAGCCGTAACTGGAGACATGTGTTAATAAAAAGCCCTATATGATCCTCACAAAAATCCCCCCACCTCCAAATTCAGTGTTTCCCTTCCCAGAAGCAGTGTCCCAGAGCTCTCTCTCGTCCTGTCCTCAGGTGGTGTGTGCTGTCATTGCTGGCTTCCTACACTACCTCTTCCTGGCCGGCTTCACCTGGATGTTCCTGGAGGGGCTGCACCTCTTCCTCACCGTCCGGAACCTGAAGGTCGTGAATTACACCAGTGCCAGCCGGTTCAAGAAGAGATTTATGTACCCGTTCGGCTATGGATTCCCAGCCCTGGTGGTGGCTATTTCTGCAGCGGTGAATCCTGGAGGCTACGGAACTTCCAAATAGTAAGTGCAGTGCCCATCCCGAAGGGGAGCAGGGATGTGGCTTCCATGTGGTTGTCTGGCTCACCCCAGGTCTGACTTGAACCTAGATTTCTCTGCCTGGGAGCTGACTGTGACACTAGGCTGCCCTGAGCACTGTAGTTGAGTTGCCCACCTGTCAGACATCTACACTCCTCGCCCCACTGATGATGCAGAAGAACAAGCCAGAAAGATCCCAGCTTGACTTCCACGTCCCAGGCTGGATTTGTGGCATTGGTGGGTAGGAAACAAACGCGCCTTCTTACTGTTGGCAAATCCCTGAAGATCCCCTCTCTAAAGTGAGCAAATCCACGAAAACAGGGCATGGCGGGTTCTAGACACCCCAGGCTAGATCCTCAGCTTGTGTAAATCAGGGTAGCTTCACTTCCTTCAGTGCAGCTAGGCCAATACATCCGCTGCATGTCTGGCCCTCCCTCAATACTGCGCCCATCCACCAGAAAGGGTCATTTGAGGAGGTGGAAGAGGAAGTGGAGGCTGAAAGCAGGAGATGCTGAGGTAGATGGGGAGGGCTGTTAGCCTGCAGCCCGCAGGAGAGTCGGCCATGTCACAGGCTGGCTGAGATCCATCTTGCTTTTTAGAGTCAGCTGCCCTGTGACACCCTCTCTCTGCCTGCAGTGCTGAAAAAGGGTCGTAATCCCATTAAAGTCACCTTCTTCTTGCTCCCTGCCTGTAGCTGCTGGCTCAGCCTGGAGAGAGGATTTCATTGGAGCTTCCTGGGACCAGTCTGTGCCATAATCCTGGTGGGTACCTCACAGAACCACAGGGCCCCATTCTCCTCTCTCCTCTGCGACCCTGTGGAGTCCCGTGGAGCCAAGAGAGGAATATCTCCCAGAGAATTTAAGATGAAAGAGTCCAAGAAGATCCCATTTCATTCCTCCCTCTTTGGCCAGTGCAGGATTTCCCACTAACAGAATAGCCTACGTTCTATGGAGGCAGTCCGGGCGAATGGGTCGGGCACTGGGTTGTGAGTCAGGAGACCTGACTCTGCCACTGGCCTGCTGTGTTAACTTGGGAAGTAGCTTCCCCTTGCTGTACCTCTGTTTCTCCTCCTACCCTTTGTCTGTTTGACTCATAGGCACCAAAAAAAAATCGTGGATGCTCAGCACCCACTGGCAGCCAGCTCCCCACTGCCGGCGGCCGTGCCAATCAACTCCTCCCCCTCCATCCCAGCGCAACCCGCAGTCAGCTGTTCTGTGGTGTGCAGGACGCGCGGTGGGGGAGGGGGCGGAACTGGGTGGGAACAGGTGGGGTGGGGTTGGGAAGAGGCAGGGGCTTGAAGAAGGGGTGGGGTGGGGGCGGGACTTGGGGCCATTCGGAGGTTAGAAGAGGTGGCTTGGGAGAAGAGGTTGGGTGAGGGAGGGGTCTGGGGTGGGGTGGGGGGTTGAGCGGCGCAGAGAAAACCGGTGCCTGTAGTCTTGCCTAGTTATTTTGCAAACAAATGCTCCAGGACAGGGGCTGCCCCTTTCCAGGTGTGAGAACAGAACCCAGTGCCATCTCAGTTGGAGCCTCTAGGTGCTACCACAATATGATTAATTATAATATGTCATTACTCATGCAATGCTGCCATGGAAGCAAGTGGGACCTCTGCCGGAATGAGGATAGTTTTGTCCCGTGCCTTGTCCAGCCTGGCTGGTAAATAACCCAAGTGATGGGGGAAGGGAAGGTGGCTGCAGCGTGGGGAGTTTGGGGAAGGAAGGGAACATGTGTTGTAAGAGATAAAGGCTGCAAATGTCCTTGCAGATTCCTCCCCATCTCAGGCAGCGGGTTAAGAATTAATTTCAGTCTCAGAATTGAAGGGAATCCTCTATAGACAGGATCTAGAAGCTTTGGGCCAAATCACACAGCTCTAAATCCGGAATAACTGTAGACCCCACTGGAATCAGTGGAGTCACTCCAGATTCAGATAAGAGCAGAATGTGGCCCTCTGGCTGTATGATCACATGTGATGCATTGCAGCCCTGCCTATGCCAACAGTTCCCTGCATGGCCTGGGACCAAGATCTGGTAGCGAATGGTATATGACCCACCTTGACGAGCAGTCACTGGTCTGCAGCAGTCTGATCCCATAGGATTCTTCTGTGCCTCAGGCAGAGAGACTGGCCTTGGCTAGCATGTTTTACAAGGAATATTTCATGCTGTTTCCACAGATAAATTTAACATTTTTTATTGCAACCCTCTGGATCCTGAGAGACAAACTCTCCTCCCTTAATGAAGATGTGTCCACTCTCAAAGACACCAGGTAGGACAGCACTATATCTACTAGAATAGGGGTGGGCAAACTTTTTGACTCGAGGGCCACATCCGCGTGGGGAAATTGCATGCAGGGCCATGAAAGTAGGGCTGGAACAGGGGGTTGGGGTGTGGGAGGGAGTGCGGGGTGTGGGAGGGGGTGCATTGTGCAGGAAGGGGCTCAGGGCAAGGGGTTGGGGTGGAGGAGGGCTGTGGGGTGTAGAATGGGGCTCAGGGCAGGAGGTTGGGGAGCAGGAGGGAGTGCAGAGTGCTGGAAAGAGCTCAGGGCAGGGGTTCACTGCAGTTTTCCCGTGGGATTGGCACTCAATGTATATCCCAGGCCCCGAAGGACCCTTGGAAATGCACGAGTTTACACCAGCTGAGGACCTGGCCTGTAACCGCGTTTCAGCTTCAGCGATGTCACTGCACCACTAAATGCTCTTCTGCCTTTTTTTTTTTTAAGGACATTTGTTTCAAACCGTGCTGTCCCCGCAGCACTAGGAAATTTGCTGATGTCATCGTTCTGTTAGAAACTTCTCCAAACTGAGAGCAGTGACGGTGTCAGCCCACTTCTGTTCGCCGTGTTTATTTATGTGATCTGGGCACGTACAGTCCCACTGTGCTTGGTGCTGTACACACACACAGTCAGAGACAATCCCTGTCCCAAGGAGCTCACAAGCCAAGTAGACGAGATGGACACAAGGTGGGAGAACAGAAGGATTATTACCCCTGTTAGACAGCAGGGGAAGAGGGGATCAGGTGACTTGGCTAAAGTCAAATAGGGAGCCTGTAGTAGAATCAGGAACTAAATTCAGTTCTGCTTCCTTAGGATGGTTTTTTGGTTAAGACGGACTTTTCCCATCTCTCTCCTGTCTCCTCAGCACCCTTCAGATATTCAGCTGGTGAAAATCAGCTTTGTTGTTCTAAAGAGGTGTTGCCTAACAGTCCCTGTAGATTAAGGTGTGTGAAAGGGTATCAGGCAGCACGGTGTCTTGCTCACTTTGGAAGAGCTGCAGAAAAAGTGGCTATGAACTTGCAAAAAGGAGGTGTGCTCATGTATTCTATGAGTTGAATTTATTATGATTAATTATTATTATTAGGTTACTGTGTTTTTTCAGTGTGGGAAATTGTGTGCTATTTTAAGTGTTGAATGACTGAATGACATAATACCCACCCCCACAATGACCAGTAATTTTGTCAAGTATCCATCACACAACATGGTGATGCCTACCCCTGTCCTGTGCTTCGAGGGACATGGGGTCCAGGGCTGCCTGGGGGGTTAGCGAGGGGCCTAGTGCCAGCAGGAGCGAGTGACCTGGTCCCAGCCTGCTCCACTCTACCCCCCCGGCTTGCAGCATTGCTCATGGGCGAGGGTTTGGGGGAAGGGGTGGAGTGGGGGCGGGGTGGAAAGAGGTGGGGTGGAGCAGGGCATGCTGGGGCTGGGTTGCTTGCTACTGCCAGTGCCAGACACCCCCCCAGGCCACCCTAGACCCCGCTTCCCCTGAAGTGCGGGGGCCCCCAAAGCGCAGGGCCTGAGGTGGTTGTCCCAATCCGTCCTATGGATGGGGCGGCTCTGCTTGGGCACCACCAAAAATTATACAAACCTGCCGCCCATGTAGATCGGACATCTGAGATTTCGTGCTGGACGTTCGGAAGCCCTTGATCCATCTCCTGTACACCTCTCTCACCTGGAGCGTGAGGGACACGGTCACTGCACTATGTAACTAACTCTGAGGAGATCAAGCATGGCTACCGTGAGGCCGGTGAAGGTGCTGCAGGGGTGATGACAGGCATGGGCGTTACCTGGCGATTGAGGAGACACTGCACCCAGGAAGATGAAGGCTCCCTGTTGACGATGATGACTGCTGGGCCGACTTGGAGGAGACCAAAGCTCCATGTTCAGCCCAGAACAAAGAGCTGGGCAATGGCTTTAAAGGTCAGTAACCTGGATAAAGGCAGATGGAGAGATCCCGTTACAATAACCCTCTGGAGAGCAACTGGGTCAGGAGGATCTGGGCAGAGTAGGGTGGAGCTACCAGCCCCTGCTTTCCTGTGTGGGACAGGGTTACTGTGAATGACAACATACTGGGAATTCATTCCCATGGATCCTAGATATGCTGTTACCCTCCTGCAATCCCTCACTCCCTCCGCATGCCAAGGACCTTCCAAACCAAGGCATTTGACCCTCCAGGTCATTTTTAACTCTAAGCAGAATCTGGCCTCTGTGATCCCATTGATCCATCTCAGCCCTGGCTGTGCCATCAGCTCCGTGCACAGGGAGGGACCGAGAGCTGCCAGAGGATATTACAGAAGAGGGGATCAATGGTCCCTGGTTCTGCAGTGTTCAGATCTGTCCCCTGGGATCGTTCTCTGCCTCAGCTCGAGTCATTGGCCCCGGATGAAACGTTTTACAGAAAATATTTTCAGCTGTTTCCACAGATAAATGTGACGTTCTTTGCCCCGACCCTGTGGATCTTGAGAAACAGACTCTCCTCCCTCGGCGCAGATGTGTCCACTCTCAGAGACCATAGTTGAGAAGGCAACAAAGCAACCCTGGAGGGTCAAATGCCTTGGTTTGGAAGGTCCTTGGCATGCGGAGGGTGTGAGGGATTGCAGGAGGGGAACAGCATATCTAAGATCCATGGGAACGAATTCCCAGTGTGTTCTCATTTACAGTAAACATGTCCCACACAGGAAAGCAGGGACCAGTAGCTCCACCCCACTCTGCCCAGATCCTCCTGACCCAGTTGCTCTCCAGAGGGTTATTGTAACGGGATCTCTCCATCTGTCTTTATCCAGGTTACTGACCTTTAAAGCCATCACCCAGCTCTTCATTCTGGACTGTACATGGAGCTTTGGTCTCCTCCAAGTCGGCCCAGCAGCCACGGTCATGGCGTATTTATTCACCACCGTCAACAGCCTGCAGGGAGCCTTCATCTTCCTGGGTGCACTCTCTCCTCAATTGCCAGGTAACGCCTGTGCCTGTCATCACCCCCACCCAGCACCTTCATCAGCCTCGCAGTGGCCATGCCTGATCTCCTCAGAGTTAGTTACATAGTGCAGTGACCGTGTCCCTCACGCTCCAGGTGAGAGAGGCGTACAGGAGATGGATCAAGGGCTTCCGAACGTCCAGCACGAAATCTCAGATGTCCGATCTACATGGGCGGCAGGTTTGTATAATTTTTGGTGGTGCCCAAGCAGAGCCGTCCCATCCATAGTATGGATCGGGGCAAACGCCCCAGGCCCCGTGCTTTGGGGCGCCCTGTGCTTCAGGGAGACGCAGGGTCCAGGGTGGCCTGGGGGGGTCAGCGGGTGTCTGGCACCAGCAGCAGTGAGCAACCCGGCCCCAGCACACCCTGCTCCACCCCACCTCTTCCCACCCCCACCCTTTCCCCCCACCCCCACCCATGAGCAACCCCGCGAACCCGGCTGGGTGGAGCGGAGCGGGCTGGAGCCAGGTTACTTGCTGCTGCTGCCGCCAGGCCCCCCACTAGCCCTGCAGGCCACCCTGGACCCTGCGGAAAAGGACCTAGGGGTGACAGTGGACGAGAAGCTGGATATGAGTCAGCAGTGTGCCCTTATTGCCAAGAAGGCCAATGGCATTTTGGGATGTATAAGTAGGGGCATAGCGAGCAGATCGAGGGACGTGATCGTTCCCCTCTATTCGACATTGGTGAGGCCTCATCTGGAGTACTGTGTCCAGTTTTGGGCCCCACACTTCAAGAAGGATGTGGATAAATTGGAGAGAGTCCAGCGAAGGGCAACAAAAATGATTAGGGGTCTGGAACACATGAGTTATGAGGAGAGGCTGAGGGAGCTGGGATTGTTTAGCCTGCAGAAGAGAAGAATGAGGGGGGATTTGATAGCTGCTTTCAACTACCTGAAAGGGGGTTCCAAAGAGGATGGCTCTAGACTGTTCTCAATGGTAGCAGATGACAGAACGAGGAGTAATGGTCTCTAGTGGCAGTGGGGGAGGTTTAGATTGGATATTAGGAAAAGCTTTTTCACTAAGAGGGTGGTGAAACACTGGAATGCGTTACCTAGGGAGGTGGTAGAATCTCCTTCCTTAGAGGTTTTTAAGGTCAGGCTTGACAAAGCCCTGGCTGGGATGATTTAACTGGGAATTGGTCCTGCTTCGAGCAGGGGGTTGGACTAGATGACCTTCTGGGGTCCCTTCCAACCCTGATATTCTATGATTCTATGACCCTGTGTCCCCCTGAAGCACAGGGCAGGAGTAGGCACCACCACGTTGCGTGACGGACACTTGACAAAATTACCGGACTTCGTGACGGACATTGCGGGGGGGTGGGGGGGGATTATGTCATTCAGTCATTCAACCCGTAAAATAGCACACAATTGTGAGCTCTTTGGGACAGGGATTGTCTCTGACTATGAGTATGTACAGCACCAAGCACAGTGGGACTGTACGTGCCCACATCACATAAATAAACACGGCGAACAGAAGTGGGCTGACACCGTCACTGCTCTCAGTTTGGAGAAGTTTCTAACAGAACGATGACATCAGCGAATTTCCTAGTGCTGCGGGGACAGCACAGTTTGAAACAAATGTCCTTAAAAAAAAAAAAAAAGGCAGAAGAGCATTTAATGGTGCAGTGACATCGCTGAAGCTGAAACGCCAATAGCCACGAAGCAGTGTGCCTCAGCCATGCCCTCAGCAGCACCTCCACCCCACCAGTCACAACCCCCATGCCAGGGGCTGGGAGCAGGGCTAATGGAGAGATTTTATGCCAGCTCCACAGCAGCCAAGAAGGACTCCTGCCCAGGAGGGCTAATCACAGGGCCATTGCTGCCCACTTTAAAGCCCCTTTACACCTTTAAGCCAGAGTGGCATAAAGAGGCTTTAGAACTGGGCCTTAGGTTTCCAGGACAGGCAGAACCTGACAGCAAACCCTCAAACCAAAGAAGCAACCAAGGTCCATAAGCAGGTTATTTTATTATTTACGCATTACAGTGAAACAGCAGAGCTAGCTCACACACACAGCACGCGAGGCCTCTGCAAATCGCCTCCCACCCCCCAACTCCCCCACATGTTGTGCTTTCCCTAAGAAATAACTGCTCTCTGACCTGGGATCTGGCCCTTTAAATGTGGGAGACACACCCAGCTAAAACCCTAGGGTGGCCTTTGAATTCAGTAGGAGTTTTGGATTTGGATTAGAGAGAGGATTTTGTCCAATCCCGCTTCCCCTTCCAGGTTTTGTATGTAGTTGGGATGAAGAACGGCAACTGCCCCGCTGGCACAGCAAAGCCGGCTGTACGATAAACATTGTTGGTTGGAGAGATGATTGTTTCATGGAGATGAAGTGGAGGGCTCTCCCCAACTCACCTGCCAGCAAAACAAATATACATTGAGTGCCAATCCCATGGGAAAACTCCAGTCAACTTCAATGGGATCAGGACTGGGTCCTCATTCAGGAATAGTGCAGAGTCTGCAAAAATTCAGCCAGCCTCCACTGAAGTGACATCACGTGCAGGAAAATAACTAAACAAGTGAAGACAAAGCCCACTCCCTTCCCCAACCCATGCACAGGTAAGCCATAAAGTAGCGCTTAATAGAGGCTGCTCAAATTAAACCAGAAATGTGTACTTCCAGACAAAGGTTGTGGTGTCTCGTGCTGGGACTGGAGCAGGGAGATTTTCCCAGCTATAAGTCTCCACTTTTCACTCCAGACAAAGCTTCTGGATCCTTTCCCAGTAGAGGTAACAGAGCCAGAGGAAATTCCATCCAGTGCTAACTCTTCGTTGGTCTGGCCCATCTACACTGGGAAGATTTCCACCCAGATTTTGGTTTGCAAACTTCCCCAATTGGATAATTACCTGAATTTGTATCCCAGCCCATTCCACAGCGAGTGATGCATGGAGCTTGCAAAGAAGCAAAGGGAAGGGAACGTGGAGGTGCGCAAGAAAAGAGGAGTTCTGTGCTGGGTTCTAGGAGACCTGGGATTCCCCCTTGATTTGGATGCAACTGAACCTCACTAAGACTCCCAATGCCGTTCTCAGATGGGTTAAAACAAGCATGTGTCACTCAGGGGACAAGGCATCTCAGCAGCTCTGACAGAACCAGATGGATGCGACTTTTGGAGGCTGATATTGGAACAGAATAGAGGATCTCTTACCACCTTGGTGCTGGTTGTGACAGTGGACACAGACGGACTAAACGTTTGAGTTGTGGGGCTGGGTTTTCTTGTGCCTTTAATCCATCTCCTGTACTCCTCTCTCACCTGGAGAATAAAGGACATGGTCACTACATCATGTAACTAACACCCTCAGACAGGCCACTGCTAGTCCCGTGAAGTCACTGGGTGGCTGATGACATGCCATGGGCGTTACCTGGCGATTGAGAAGACAGTGCACCAGGAAGATGAAGGCTCCCTGCAGGCTGTTGACAATGTTGAATAAATACGCCATGACCATTTTTGCTGAGCCAACTTGGAAGATACCAAGACTCCATGTGCAGCCCAGAATGAATAGCTGGGCGATAGCTTTAAAAGTCAGTAGTCTGGATAAAGGCAGACGGAGAGATCCCATTATAATGATCCTCTGGTGAATGACTGAGTCAGGGGGCTGCGGGCAGTGTGGGGTGAAACAGCTGGCACCCGCTTTACTGTGACTTAGGGGTACTGTCAAGATGAACACAATGGCAACTTACGCCTATGAATCCAAAATACAATATTGTGCCCAACCATCTCCCCCCCACACACACACCTTTACCTCCCACAGGTGGCTCTTCCAAAGCAAATAGTTCAACCTCTCATTACGGTTTTGTTTTTAATCCCTTCACATCAGGCCCTGGCAATGTGACAATCAAGAGGGAACAGGATATTGGGCTCTCGGGAACCCATCTATGTTGGTCCACAGATAGACAGAGGGGTTGCTACAGAGCAACAGTAAGCCACACTTGCCTTCGTCCTCAATGGATGGCACTTTACCTCGACAGTATTCACAGCCACAGGGAAAAGAGATGAGTTTCCTCCCTAAGTAGCACATGGCCCAGCTCTCACTATCAGCACAGACTTGCATTTCTCCTTACACAGCACTAGGCACGGGCATGGGGAGAGGAGAGGGCTCCGCACACTGCCCTCGCCTGCCAACACCGCTCCTCTACCCCTTCCCCCCACCCCCTCCCCCACAGCTCCCATTGGCCAGGAACAAGGAAACACGGCCAATGGGAGTTTCGGGGGAAGAACCCGCAGACGAGGGCAGCGCACGGAGCCCTCTGGCCCCCCATCTCCCAGGGGCCGCAGGAATGTGGCGCCGGTCACTTCCGGGAGCGGTGCAGGGCCAGGGCGGGCAGGCAGGGAGCCTGCCTGAGCCCCACTGCCACCCTGGAGCCACTCCAGGTAAGTGGCGCCAGGCCAGAGCCTGCACACCGAACCCCTCCTGTAACCCACATCTTGACTCCCTTCCCTGAGCCCCCTCCCCCACTCTGGACCCCTCCCTACACCCCTGCCATGAGCTCTTTCCCACACTCTGCCACTCCCTCCTCCCCCCCCAACCCCTTGCCCTTAGCCCCTCCCACACCCCCCACTCCCTCCCGCACCCCAAGCCCCTGTCACAGCCCTACTTTCATGGCCCTGCATGCAATTTTCCCACGCGGATGTGGCCCTCGAGCCAAAAATTTTGCCCACCCCTGTTCTAGTAGATATAGTGCTGTCCTACCTGGTGTCTTTGAGAGTGGACACATCTTCATTAAGGGAGGAGAGTTTGTCTCTCAGGATCCAGAGGGTTGCAATAAAAAATGTTAAATTTATCTGTGGAAACAGCATGAAATATTCCTTGTAAAACATGCTAGCCAAGGCCAGTCTCTCTGCCTGAGGCACAGAAGAATCCTATGGGATCAGACTGCTGCAGACCAGTGACTGCTCGTCAAGGTGGGTCATATACCATTCGCTACCAGATCTTGGTCCCAGGCCATGCAGGGAACAGTTGGCAAAGGCAGGGCTGCAATGCATCACATGTGATCATACAGCCAGAGGGCCACATTCTGCTCTTATCTGAATCTGGAGTGACTCCACTGATTCCAGTGGGGTCTACAGTTATTCCGGATTTAGAGCTGTGTGATTTGGCCCAAAGCTTCTAGATCCTATCTATAGAGTATTCCCTTCAATTCTGAGACTGAAATTAATTCTTAACCCGCTGCCTGAGATGGGGAGGAATCTGCAAGGACATTTGCAACCTTTATCTCTTACAACACATGTTCCCTTCCTTCCTCAAACTCCCCACACTGCAGCCACCTTCCCTTCTCCCATCACTTGGGTTATTTACCAGCCAGGCTGGACAAGGCACGAGACAAAACTATCCTCATTCCGGCAGAGGTCCCACTTGCTTCCATGGCAGCATTGCATGAGTAATGACATATTATAATTAATCATATTGTGGTAGCACCTAGAGGCTCCAACTGAGACGGCACTGGGTTCTGTACTCACACCTGGAAAGGGGCAGCCCCTGTCCTGGAGCATTTGTTTGCAAAATAACTAGGCAAGACCACAGAGACCGGCTTCCTCTGGGCCACTCAACCCCCCACCCCACCCCAAGCCCCACCCCCACCCCACTCCTTCTCCAAGAGATGCTGGGGCATCTATGGGAACATTGGTGGGTTAGAACTTCCCCAGGTCACCAGCTAAAGTGACCCCACTCAGTGCGGTCTCGAAAGGGGGAGAGATGTGACGAAGTGGGACTGTTCTTAATGGTTCCTCTGAATATTGTGGGGGTGCCTCAGTTTCCCCTATGCAGTTCTTAAGTATCTCAGTGGTGGGATAAGGGTATATGGTCGTTGCAGAGCCCTAGAGGGCAGGTGTGTGCAGGGGTCTGGACACAGATAATGGCCAACACCCTGTTTCCTGGCAACTGGTGGCCTGGGCCCTTCCCCCCTGCAAGGTGAGAGCTAAAGGGTTGGAGACAAAGAGATCAGGACAAAACCCAGGGGAGGAGGGGCTGGAGAGAGTTTCAGTTTAGGGCTGGCTGGGGACATGGAGTGAAGTGCAGACATGGTTGTCTGGCTCACTGCCCCCCAAAATGGACCCAGCTGAGTGGTCCTGTTCTCTGTACCTACAAGCTCTGTGTTAGACCATGTTCCAGTTGTCTAATAAACCTTCTGTTTTACTGGCTGGCTGAAAGTCACGTCTGACTGCGGAGTTGACCCTCTGGCTTCCCGAGGAGCCCTGCCTGGGTGGACTCGCTGTGGGAAGCGCACGGAGGGGCAGAGGATGCTGAATGCTCTGAGGTCACACCCAGGAAGGTGGAAGCTGTGTGGGCTGTGTGTCCTGAAGACAGGCTGCTCACAGAAAGGAGACTTCCCCAGAGTCCTGCCTGGCTTCGTAGGGAGCAGTTCCAGAGCATCGCCCGGGGACTCTGTGAGACCTGCCTCTTCCCACCCCCCACCCCACCTCTTCCCACCCAGTTCCACCCCCTCCCCCACCGTGCGTCCTGCACACCACAGAACAGCTGACTGCGGGTTGCGCTGGGATGGAGGGGGAGGAGTTGATCGGCACGGCCGCCGGCAGTGGGGAGCTGGCTGCCAGTGGGTGCTGAGCATCCGCTATTTTTTTCGGTGCCTATGAGCAAGACAGACAAAGGGTAGGAGGAGAAACAGAGGTACAGCAAGGGGAAGCTACTTCCCAAGTTAACACAGCAGGCCAGTGGCAGAGTCAGGTCCCCTGACTCACAACCCAGTGCCCAACCCATTCGCCCGGACTGCCTCCATAGAACGTAGGCTATTCTGTTAGTGGGAAATCCTGCACTGGCCAAAGAGGGAGGAATGAAATGGGATCTTCTTGGACTCTTTCATCTTAAATTCTCTGGGAGATATTCCTCTCTTGGCTCCACAGGACTCCACAGGGTTGCAGAGGAGAGAGGAGAACGGGGCCCTGTGGTTCTGTGAGGTACCCACCAGGATTATGGCACAGACTGGTCCCAGGAAGCTCCAATGAAATCCTCTCTCCAGGCTGAGCCAGCAGCTACAGGCAGGGAGCAAGAAGAAGGTGACTTTAATGGGATTACGACCCTTTTTCAGCACCACTGGCAGAGAGAGGGTGTCACAGGGCAGCTGGCTCTCAAAAGCAAGATGGATCTCAGCCAGCCTGTGACATGGCCAACTCTCTTGCGGGCTGCAGGCTAACAGCCCTCCCCATCTACCTCAGCAGCTCCTGCTTTCAGCCACCACTTCCTCTTCCACCTCCTCAAATGACCCTTTCTGGTGGATGGGCACAGTATTGAGGGAGGGCCAGACATGCAGTGGATGTATATGTGCCTAGCTGCACTGAA